CTAACTTAAAATCACTTACATTTAGTTTTATATGTTGAATAAGTAACTATTTCACTGACAACAAGGGAATGCAAAATAATTTAACACCTTAATGATAATTATTTATTAAATTTTCTGATTACCAAAATGCCTCACTTACTAAATAGATATTGCTATACTTTTATATATTATTCAAAGACATTATATATATGTGTGTGTGTGTGTGTGTGTATATATATATATATATACACACACACACACACACACTTGGGATTTTTCCTTCTTTTTTAAGTTCCCATGCAGCATCTAAAATGTAAACCTGTCCCAACTGGTTGTTTAGAATACAGCCTGGTGTTTTCTGAAGTTTGCACCTAAACCACTAAATAAAACAGTTATCCTGCAAGACTCAAGAGCTACTGCTGTCTACCAATGTCGTCTTGCAGATACTTTTTTTGAACAGTACAAATGAAAGTTGATTCAGTTTTTTCTTTTACTTTAAGCAGGGGGTTGTCCAACACACACACACACAAACACACACACACACACAAATACAATTTTTAGTCATTTTTTTCAATTTAAATGATTTGCTATCACAGTTACTCCATCTTTTATCTCTAAAATAGTTTCAACCTTGTTAATGTGTGCATGTACTTTTTTCTTATCAGCCTCTCAGCAGCATTTGTGATTCATAGCAGCCATCAAAGTGATAATAAACTCATTCACAATACTAACAAACACGGGGCTCCCAGTTATTTACGAGGCAAATTCACTGCAAGGCTGGGCTGCAGAACAGGGGAGAATCAAGATGGTGTTGATTGATAAATTGACAGGTTAATTTACAAGTGGATAATAGGAGTTAGACCCAGAGGGAAAGAAGGAAGGTCTGAATTCTAGCTTGGTTGCACTGCCATCTGCCTTATGCCCAGAAATCTGCAGGACTGCTCGCTGGCAGGATCAAATAGATACACACATTCTTAGTAACTTAAAGACAAAGACTTCCATTTACTGCTGTTTGATGGGTTTGTTGCCTTGGTTCCTCACACAATTGACCCTCAATATGTCACAACAGTGCCACATCTCAGTGTTTTTTATAAGTACCACTTAGAACATGATTTAGAATAAGTTATTCTGTCAGTTTCACAAAATAAACAATGAACAAAATTGTTTTCAAGACTACATTTCACAAATATTAATTGTCATTGCATTGCTAACGTTTGAAATGCATTGTTTCCTAGGCCTCTGATATGTCCTTGTTCTAGGGTGTACATCTCCCCATTCCATTATCCCCCCCCCAAAAAAAAACCCCACTACTCCTTTTCTTTTTTATGCTTAGTATTTAGGTGCTAGCTGGTGCAGCTGTTTACAAGACAGGGTAAAACAAATTGTATGAATCTCATTTTAAACATTTGAATCACTTTTTCTCCTAGAGTTTTATTGCTGTAAATTTGAACATATCTCAAAAATTTTAAAGAATAAGTTTACAAAGTACTTTACAAACTGGAATACTAGTACATTTGTTTATTTTTTGTTTCCAATGAAACATTTTATTTTACAAGTCAGTCACTAATGTTATCAGTTGTGTAGGAAAAAATTTTAAACACTGATTTTTAAAAAATCTTATAGGTCTGGTATAACAGGAACATTTTATCATAAGTTCTCAGGATAGTGCCTCTTCATTGGGCTAATGATACTGTTAGATAGCAAATTTGTCACTATTGCTATTTTGGAAAGTGCCTAGTCTTTGGTCTTTTAAAATTAGCTAGTTGGAGACTGTTAGCAGCCGTGGCCCTGCCTGGCACCTTCCAGACAACGGCCAGCACCTATAATCACAGGGCTGAAATTCTCAGGTCTCAGCCTAAACCTTCTCTTCCCATATTGGCACATTTTGGGTGAATACCCTTCTCAGATTTGAAAGTTCATTTAATGCTCAGCTAATGTTAAAACTTGGTAGATTTAAACAAACACTGGGAAATTCAACACATTTTCAAAAGAAATTGAAAGAGGCACAAAAGAGCTTATCTGCTCAGCTTCTGTAATTCATTACGAAATTCCAACACTAATATTATTTTCAAACAGATTGTCTCCTATTAATCAAGGTATTAAAATAAACTATTAAAACTATGCCTCTAGTTGAATAACATGATAAGGCCCATGGAAAATATCTGGTCAAGAATGAATGTCAGAAAAATAAAAACAAATAACTTCGCATGCATGGAATTTTATGGTGTCACAAGGTTAAAAATGTCTCCTTAAAGGCTAAATTTCCTTTGAAAAGAAAATGCATTTATGTGTGAATGGGAGGTTGAATGGCTTTTACCGCTTTGTTTAAACATAGACAATCATCTTTGTAATTTTTTTGGCAAGTTGTATATTTTTAAAAAAAAAAACTCATAAAAGATTACAATATGTTTATGATTGCTAATTTTTCTTGATGTAGTGACTATTTTATTAAAAAGGTGTCTTTTATTCACTAACATGTTTAAGTTGTTTTTAAACTTCATAATCTACAGAATAAAAACCTGAATTCTTTCTTTAGACTGTGAAGGAAGGCATTTTGTTTCAGAGGACTACCTAAACTTTGAATTATATATTATCTTTGTATTTAAAGGCTTACTGACAAAAAATGTCATGTAAAATAGAAAAATAATTGATAGCCTATTTATAGAAATGTATACTTTTATACCTTATTTCTATAGAGAATCGAATAGAAGAAAAACACATTAAAAATTCCATCTAATATTAGTCTCCTATCTCTACAGTCAAATTGTAAAAGAATTAGAATTATAGAGGCATAATTTTTAATATATTATACTTTCATAACTTAAAATATAAGCTTACTTCCTAGAGATTTATTTTTAGTTTATATTTTTAAAAGTGCATGATCCCACTAAGATGTAGCATTTTAATCAGAAACATGTTGACATGAAAAAGAATAAAGCCCAACCCAAGAATTGACAGGCACTGACCATATCATGGGTTTATAATTTTGAATTATTTTTAATAAGGCACACTACTCTTCATGCAAGCTGTGGAGAGTCTTTCTGCCCTTTTCTCTCAGCAAGTACTAGAATAAATTCTGATGCCAAACAACAACAACAAAGATATCAGATCTAATATCCCACCCAATTTCTGAGTTGAGCCAGTGACAGGTATGTTTCGAAGCAAGACTATTTAGACACATTGATTTTTGTTGTCACTTTCTTCTTATTTCATATGTCACATCAAGGATTGGAAATTAGATGAATGTAAGAAGGGTCCGTTGATCATTGTTCCTCAGGAGGAATTTTCAAAGTCAGCGAGCTGTGCTTGATAAAAGTGGCCGTGCATGGAGCTCCACTCTGCCTACAGGGAAGTTTAGGCAAACTTAACTTAACCACTTCACTCATATTACTAGGATTCTTGGTTGTCAAGGAGGCATCTATTTAACTGAAGTCTGGTAAATCTCAAAAGTAAAGTATTGGGGGGAAAAATAGCTTAAATCATCTTTTTCTCTCTCACTTCAAAGTCCTTTTAAATGAACATGCAACACCAATTCTGGTAAACAAATTTTATGAAGTAAGTCATGCAGGTAATGCTTTCTTCAATTGTATGCTTCCAGGATAACATGTTGACATCCAATCTTTGTGTTTTGAAGAGTTTGTAATAATAAATAGAAATCAATGCTGGAGACTGAAGGGTGCATCAATTATATTTCTTTTATCTCAGAGATTCTTTCCATGTTGTGTCTATTTGTCCTTGTGAATTTTTTTCACATTGTAAAGTGTACTGTAGCTTAATTGGCAACATAGATAGTAAGTGATGATTGAGCCTAAATTATATTTGACAGAAATAAAAATGGCTTTATTTTATTTGAATATAAAATGTTATCATGGTCCTTGAGTTTGAATAGGGAGATGTGTGTTCATGTGTGTGAGTGTATCATATTTAAAAAGGAATTTCTGAATAGGTATGAAAAAAAAATAAGTTAAGAAAAACACTATATAGCTACTTGGTCCAGAAATAAAAAGTGATCAAGGTAGTTGAAAAATATTAAGTGCAGTGGATAAGTAACAGAACCTTGCAAAGTAAAAAATATTTAGGAAAAAGAGTGGTTTATTTCCATCAGCTACAAAAAAGGAGAAATCCAAAACAGACTGGGGAAGTCTCAGGAGGAAGCAGTTTGGGAAGTTGGAGGGTGAGTGCCCTGCTTAGTTCGGAAGCAGACCGGGACTCGGGGTTGCTGGGCAGACCCTACAGTTTGAATGGCCATAGTCACAATTAGAAAACATTTCAGTGATGTTTGGGGAGGAGGGAAGGATCGTGGATGCTATCCTCAGCGTAACAGGGAGATTTCCTTTTCAGAGCATTTACAATTCCTTTGCTGCCTGTAGTCAATTTGGAGCCTCTCGGAAATTTTATTGGAGCCCACAGGGAGAGAGCGCTTGCTAAACTGTAATTTCCTATGAATTGAGATGTGGCATCTGCAGGCCTCCTGTGTATGATCACCAAAAAAAAAAAAAAAAAAAAATCTACCAGGGTTTATCTTATAAACTTGGCTAGATACCCAGTCATTTTTAAATCAAATTCCCCCTTAACAATGTATTTTCCTTTAAAATATGTCCAAGTAATTGTGTGGACATTTTTGGACTGTGGAGTATTGGGCTATGTTAATTGTTTATTCACATGATATTTTTAGCCTAAATGAAATATTTCTCCTAGTCACGTTATTTGAAATATTGAATTAAATTAATTAAAGGAGTAGAATGTTAATGTATTAATATAAATGAGCATTTATGAAAACTAGGATTGAGGTCAAAATGCTAAATCAGAGAACAAATTTGAAAAAGAAGTTACAAAGAATATTCTGTAATAGAAAATCATGTAATTTGTAAAGTTCCCAACCTGAGTGATCTTGTAGTGCTACTTTCTCCCCAGTTCGACCTTCTCCTCATTCTTTACAGAGGAGGGAAGCTAAGACCCAGAGAGCTGCAATGAAGTCCCAGGTTCTTGTGGCCAGTTCGTTCCAAAGCAGGAGGCAGGGCCCAGCTCCTGAATTCTCCCACATCAGCATGCTGGGGCAGCTCTGGTGGCTGCACAGTTATAGTGGCTACCGAGAACAAAGAGAGTCAGCTTGCCACCCAGTCTCAGTTTTTACATCTCGAAATTGGAGACATGGCATTGTATTCTATTTCTAAACATTGAAAACAACGTTTTAGAATTTTAACTGAACACTAAACTGATGGGCAAAAAAGAAGAGAAGAATAGATGACATGGTACTGTTTGTGATAAATGTTGATTCTTTCTCCCATCAGTAGGGAATGCAATGGAGGAATGCAGGCTGGTCATGGCAGTGATCATCCTAGAACATACCTTTGCAAAGTTATGGGGTAATTATGGCCAGCCAGCTCACTTATAAACACACATGCACACACATACACACACACAAATATGAGGATTCTTGCTCAGAGGAAACTTTCTGATGTATAACTATTTTGAATTTTGTGAAAGAGAACCGGAATTTGGGACATAAGGGCCAATGTCTCGTGAGAAGGAAATTAAAGTCAATCATTCCCATCTGAACTTCTGAATTCTAATGACCTGATACTCTCCTGAATTCTCATGACGTTTCAATCTGTTTGGAGAATGGGCAGTATGTGTATGTGTGTATGCATGTGTGTGCATGTGTTTGTGCATGTGCGTGTATGTTTGTGTGTGTGTGTGTGTATGTGATATGGTTTGGATATTTGGCCCCTCCAAATCTCATGTTGAAATTTGATCCCCGGTGTTGAATACGGGGCCTGGTGGGAGATGTCTGGGGTGTGAGGGTGGATCCCCCATGAATGGCTTGATGTCCCTCCCTCGATAATAAGTGAGTTCTCACTTTATTAGTTCATGCGAGAGTGAGTTGCTTAAGAGAGGGTGGCACTACCTCCTCCCTTTCTTGCTCCTTCTCTCACCTTGTGACATGTCTGCTCCTCCTTCACCTTCTCCCTTGATTGGAAGCTTCCTGAAGCTCTCACCAGAAGCAGATGCTGGTGCCATGCTTCTGGTAGTCTTTTCTTTATTAATTACCCCCATTCAGGTATTCCTGTATAACAATGCAAAACAGACAGACACAGTGTGAATGTGTGCATGTGTTTTTATATGTATGTGTGTGTATGGATGGGTGCATGTGTGTATGCATGTGTGTGTGTGTGCATGTGTGTGTGTGTGTGTGTGTGTGCTTGGGGAGGAGGGTGGTTAGGATGGCCATTGGAGACTTGATAAAGGAGCTAGCAAGAGGAAGGGATACAATGAGCAGTATGGGATACTTTCACACAACTTTTTAAAATACTTTGTAAATTGACCTTGGATTGGTCTTAGACAGGCATCATGGTCAAAATTCCTGGGAACAAAGTATTCAGTTTAGGTTGTGTGTAGTTTCAAGGCAGTTGGAAGACAGAAATTTCTGTGCATGTCTGGGCTCCTTCAGCAGGACTAGGATGGTCCTATTGTTCAAGAAACGAAAGGATTTCACTAAAATGTTGTCAAGCTGCAGCCAAAGTTGTGCACTGATTTTATTGATGGTGCTTCTCCAGAGCTCTGCTTGGTGACGTTGATGATGAAGACAATAGCATTTCTACAGTGCTTGTTGTGTTCTGCTACTGTTGCTATTTCATAAACAAGGACATAGAAGTCCATTAATAAGAGGCGTTGGATAAGTTGCCCAAAGACACTGAATGGGTAAGTGGTGGTGGTGGGATTTTAAACTCCAGAGGGCTGGTCCAGACACAAATACTTAATCACTACATAGCACTTTCTCTTGCTAGGGAAACAGAGATCAATTTTTATCCTCTAGGATTAGCAAATATAACTATGCATTTAGTAAATTGCCAGGAAAACCCTTTTTCGAATTGGCATAACCTCAATAGATAGATAACGTTGCCAGGAATGTTCACCTGACATCCTCTTCCTTTCTTATATCCCATGCCCATCACGTTATTCATATTTGCATATAATCTCCGCCTACCTACCGTATGGTATCAAGTTAGTGTAGGTTAACAGTTCACGTTTCTTGAATTAGTATGTTTCTTGATACAATAAAAGATCGATAGCACATCACATTTACCTATTTATTGAGGCTGCTAGAAAACTTGGAACTAAGTTTTGTGCCCATTAGCTATATATTTTTTTCTCAGACAGCTCTTGATAAATTATGATGTTTGTTTTGGGGGGTTAATGTTTTCCGGGTATTTTTTCTACCTCTAGTTTGCTGTGGAAGGAAGTGATAGGGTTGAAGAAATATTTAAATAAATAAATCCCAAAACATTTATAAAAGTCATATAAGAAGTGAGTTGCAAAACTGACTGTATTTTTAGACCATGCATTTCTAAGGATAGTTAGCTCCATTAATCTATAAAATATAAATATCATATTATGTTTTCTAATTATAAAAATAACAAAAATCCATACTAGAAAACCTCATCACACAGATATATCACCACTAACATGGATTTTTCCCCCTATGAATCTATAGCTAATAAATATCTATAATTACATTTTGGGGATTATACAAAGATACTGCTTTCAACTTGTTTTTTCCCATATCACAATTTTGAGTACTCCCCACATCATTATGCATTCTCCTGTTTGTTTTCAAAGAACCTCACAAAGGGATTCACTTCAGTGCTAGCCTCCCATAAGTAAGAGTTTACATCATGGATTTAAATGTTTATTTAATGTAGTGCCATAATCCACGCAGTCTTGCAGAAATTCCTCTGTATTATTAAATTCATAGACTATTATTGAGGAGATTATTTTTCTTTCCCAGAAAATCTGAAAATATCTTGAATATGGAGCATGCATTCTTATAACTAAATTATAGCAATAATTTCAAGCTCAGTCTACAAAACTCCTTGTCCTTTCCTGAAGTTACTGTCAACTCCTTTGGCCACGGAGCATGTGAGACAAGAGCTGTGCTTGTTTCATGGGACTCCAGGAGAAACTGACTCTCAGAAATGAGAAGAAATCATTTAGATGAACTGCAGTCTAACCCCACCCCTGCCAGCACTGGCGGTTCTGAAGGCTCATGCTCCAAGGTCTTCGCCTCTCAATCTTCAGAGAACAACTGCTATGGGCAGAATATGGTCACCTGCCCAGCTTCTCCTCCCACCCAAGACATACAAGCATCTCAGGAGCCCACTCTCACCTACCTGGGCCAGGAGGATTTCTATTTGCTTTACTGCCAGTTCGTTTTAGGACTTTGATCTCCATCTACTGTTCATCCCATTCTTCCTAGAAAATTACTTCCCCTTCCCATCAAGTCTCTCAGCCTATACTGATGCCCAGTGCCACTCCTCTCTGGATTAAATTTTCCTTCTTCACTCTTCTTACCTTTTCATCGTACTTCATTAGCAAGCATTTATGTCAGTAAGACAGGTTGAAAGAGTTTGTCCAAGGCCAGCCTGATGAAGACAAATCAGAGTTGAAGTCAGTACATCGCTGAAAGTTCACTGAGAAAAACTGAGAAATATGGTTAAACTAAAACAAGATGATTGGTGCGCATTTCTGGAACACAGCTATTACCTAATTCTGTTTACGTCTGCCTCTTACAGCCAATAATATTCCAACAATTTTAAAGTAGATGTCATGGCATTTTTTGAGAGCATTGTTCAGACTTAGAAGTGTGTGTACAATCCATATTTAACTTATAAAGGAATCTTCGTTTGGGGATGAAGGGTATAGCTTCATAAAAACTTAAAGAAAAGTTTGAATTTATACAATGATTGCCTTTCAAAGAAATAAAAATGATCCTGCTAAGTGTATTTAACACTTAGTTCACAGTTTGGGTCGCTAAGAAACTTCCCTATTTTATCTCATTTCTTCCTTAGTCTCTGTAATCTGTCAACATCTAAAGATAGTTTGGATGCCTTGTGCTCATGCACGTGGTCCTGTTTTCACAGACCTTTCCAATTAAATGCTTTGTTCTTGAAGAGCAGAACTATGTTTTATCTCCTGTAATAACAAGCCTGCTGGAACGCACCCACCGCGGCACCTGCAAGCTGAAGGTACGGGACAGCACAGAATTTTACTCCTTCAACATCATCTAATCAGGCTAATACAAATGTTTTAAGGCTGGAATTCAATTTTCAAATGGAATCTAGTATTGAACCACAATATAAATTCTGGTAAAAGAAAGTCTATGAAGGATTTTTCAAGTCATGCCTACTCAGTGTCCACCTTGACCTTATTCTGATAATAAAACCTCCTGATTTTGCAGATGACAGTTTGAGAACAACTGGTCTTATGTAATCACCTAATTTTTCTTGGGAATCTGAGGGTCAGAGAGATTAAGCAGCATATCTGGGCTGAAACAGCAAGTGTTAGACAAAGCTGGGCCTAAAAGGCAGGTCTCCTGACACTTCCTATTATGAATTTCCTTTTAACAGGGACAAAAAAGGAGACTCAGTGGGACAAATGGAAAACATTGCCCCAGGATGTAATGTTAGGAAGAGTTTATTTTGGCTAGGTCCATGTAGACATAGAAATGTTTAATACAAAGGTTTTATTCATGGGTCCACATTTCTTAATTTCTCTATTTTCTCAATCTATGCACCTATCAATGAATCTTATCAGTGGTCTTTGAGATCCACAGGCAGACAGTTGGATACTAGTTGGATACTAAGTACTATTACTGTTCATTTAGGACTCTGCTATCACTATCATTTTGATGATGCTTGGTAAAGATATAGATCAAATTGATTAGATTTTTTTTAAATGTCCTAAAAATGAGACTGAATTCAAATCTCAAAATGCTACCAGCAGAGGCTGTAGGTTTTCTCCTCTGAATCTCATGGCTGAGAGAGTCCAACAGGAAAGGAGTAGCCCATACTCTAAGATATTGAGGGAAGCATCAACACTTCTATATTTAATAAGGTTGATGAACAGAAGCATGTTAGAGTTAACTGTTATTTCTATCCAGGAAAAACTCTGGAGGTAAAGAAGATTTCTGGAGTTGCTTATCATGGTACTCTATGTCTTTTGCAGTAGTGGATGATTAATAAATAGCTAGTAGTAGAATAAGAGTGGCAGACTGTCTTCTGTCCCTGGCTGCCTGAGATTGCTGCAGGAGGTAGAGATTGGTAAACTATTTTTTGATCATTCTATTCAAAGCTAGTTGTAATTTACTCAGGTTTTGTGTGGGCAAGAAAAAACATGTTAGACAGAGACTCACAATTGAAATATTAAATCACAGAAGTATTGCACATGGGCTAGTTCTGGGGCAAGTAGTTTTAGACTGCAAGGGAAAATTGGTGAATGGTGCAGGCATGGGGGCGGGTGGGCAACTGCCTGGTCATAGTTTAGGGTTTCTCTTCAGCTGAAACAGAAGGGGAGATTTAGCAACTGCTTGTTGTGGCAGAAAATCATCTCTGATAGTTTTCGGGGTAGAGGATTGGAGTCAAGCAGATACAGCCAACCTCAAACAAGAAATTCTGACCTGTGTCAGGTGGAGCTGTGCTTGCCTGATGAACCTGTTATAACTCCATCCAACCTCACTCTAAGGTAAACATTTTTCAAATCAAGAAAACAAAAGTAAAATTTAGAGCTTAGTCCTAGCAAGTTTGAAGCCAGTCCAACTACATAGACCTATAAGAATTGTGTTTTCTCACAATTTTCCTTAAAAATTGCTGTAGATAACTTGGTTTCTTCCTGTCTTATTTTTATCCCCCAAGACAAACTGGAAGTAACTCTCGTCAGTGCAAAGGCATACTCAGCCTGGTACTAACCGTGGGACCCTGTGGTGCTTGATATAGAACTCTGGACATGACCTTCAGTGGCATTGACCTCACATGGTCCTGGGCTTAGATTCTCTCTTTTGTCTTTTACAGCTGTGTGAACTTAAGCATATTAGCACACCCCCCCTTTTTTTTGCTCCAGTTTCTTTATTAGAAAACAGGGATAATTGCATTAGCTTCCTGGAGCTTGAATGGGGATTGCAAGACACTGCATAAGATAAATATATGTCAAGCTCTCAGTAATGGAAGCCATAGTTATGATATTGTATGTCCCCCAAAGTATTTCTTTTGAGGTGGCTTTCTGGCTAGAGTCCCCATCACTAACTTTCCTCAAGTTGTCATGTTTGGAACCACTTTAGACAATGATTTTGGGATTTTTTTATTTCCCCAAGGAACTTGGTGGAGAATAACCTAGACATGCAGTCCCCAACCCCCAGGCTATGGACCGGTACCAGTCTGTGGCCTGTTAGGAATCCAGCCACACAGCAGCAGGTGAGCCCCATGGGGTCAGGGGAGCAAGCCAAGCTTCACCTGTATTGACAGCTGCTCCCCATCACTCACATCACTGCCTGAGCTCCTCCTCCTGTCAGATCAACAGCGTCATTAGATTCTCAAAGGAGAGCGGACCCTACTGCACACTGTGCATGTGAGGGTAGGTTTTGCACTCCTTGTGAATAAGAATCTAATGCCTGATGATCTAAGGTGGAGCTGAAGTGGTCATGCTAGTGCTGGGGAGTGCTGCAAATACAGATTAATATGAGCAGAGAGGTTAACAATGTAATAATAATAGAAATAAAGTGTACAATAAATGCAATGTGCTTGAGTCATCCTGCAATCACCCCCCACTCCTATCCACAAAACTGGGTCCACAAAACCAGTCTCTGGTGCCAAAAATGTTGGGGACCACTGTCCTAGACTACTCAAATAAGGTACAAGTTCTTGTCCCGTATCTGTCCTAAGGATTACCAGATTCTGTGCAAGGGATCATCTTGAAAACCAAAGAACCAGAGCATGATGTCGGCTTACCTAACAGCTGAAAGCCTAAGGGCATTCTGTAGCAGAGACTTTAGACGTTACTAACCTGTAAAATGAGAAAGTTCCAAGGTCCAACTCTTGAGCTAAAATCCTCAAGAAAATATAATAATAAGCATTTATTAAGGTGTTAAATTATCTACGTGGAATCAAGTTTTGTCCTCTGTAAGTAATTCCTAAATATGGTAGACCCTTTTATCTTCAGGTAGTCTAAATTTTCCAAACACTGTAAACATGTATTTTTTTTTCCTTTGCCATCCCATAGCCAGTCTATTAGCAAGCCCTTCTTGTCAAGACTTCCTTCAAAGTATATTGCAAATCTATTCACTTCTCCCAGCATCACAGGCAATGTTCCCCTGTTCTAGCAGAGTTGCCCTTCCCCTGGGCTTCACATTTTTACTCCTGCCTATCCACAATCTAACTCTCCCCAGAGCAGAAGTCAGTGGTCTTCAAAATGGAGGTTAGATTTTGTCACTTCCAGACATAAAGGCTTTGCATGATTTCTCATTGCTTTTCATGAGGTCTAAACCTCTTACTGTGTCTACAGAGCTTTATATTATCTTTCTTTCTGCTCATATTCATCTCCAACATCTCTCCATTGACCTCTTTCTCTGGCCATACTGTGCCCTTTGCTTTTCTAACATGCCACACTCTGCTTGGCTTTAGAACTTTGTCTTATAACTCCCTCTGTTACAAAGGCATACTCATTGTCATCTCTAAATATCACGCTCCAGACAGAGACTTGTTTCTGGAATACCCCACCAAAATAAGCACCCCATCACTCTGTTTTGGGTTACTTATATGTCTTATCACATTTCCAGTTATACTGAAATAATTTTTAAAATGAAAGACATCATTAATCATTAAAAACCTAAATTGGGAACCACAACCTGTAACTTCAGACTATTTTATATATAACTTTTTATAAAAACATCAGACTATAGAAAATTTCTAGCCAACACCAACTACTTAAAAGAATAAAGTGGAGAAGCTACAAGAATTATTTTATGAAGCTAGTACAAAATAAATTTGTGAAACAGAATATAAGAAAATTAAAAGCCAATTTCATAGGTGAACATAAAAGCAAAAATCCTAGGTACATACTAGAAAATGGAAATCAGCTGTGTGTGTATTTACACACACACACACACACACACACACACACATCTATTATCTATCTATATCATCTACCTTTTTATCTGTCTAATTTGAGGAGTCTATATTATTGGAGTATAAGCATATTTTTATATGATAAAAAGACACAAACATAAAGGATAAAATAGATAAATTTGAGTATAATAAGATACAAAAAAAGCCCCTACTTCTTTTCAACAGAAGTGCTTTTACAAAATAAAGAAGCACAATCCACAGTTCAGGAAAGTGCATATAATCATTAGTAACAGGAATTTATAAAGAACACCTACAGCTCAATAAGAAAAAAACAAGCTAACAAACACATGAGCAAAAACATATGCATATAATTCCCATAACATCATATATAAATAACCAATAACTATCCGAATAGATGTTTAAGCTTACTAACAAACAGAAAACGCAAAATTCAAAGTCTAATAATAACAGGAGTTGTTAAGAATGTGGGGAAGTAAACTCCACTTTAATGTTCATCATTAAACTAGTAC